GTTCCCTGTTTGCTGGATAATTTATGGATATTGTTGGGAGAAGTTACATGTAAATCACTTCTGGGAGTTTAAAGGTTAAGAAATAAAAGGCCTCAGTGTTTTATCAGGGTCCCAGTCTTTACCAGAAATAGCTGTACTCGATTAAATAGAACTGCTGCTACATAGTGCTAGTTTTACTTCATAATCTTAAACGTGAAAATGTTCAGGTCAAAATACTTATCTTCGAAGAAGACCCAACGAAAGTTGGTTGCGAGTTTACTGCAACAAGTTTCGAAGAAACACCGGGGAAGTGTAGTCGAGAAAATCGGTACTTTTGTCAAGAAAACTCGTGTCACTTTTCAACCAATCAGGTGCAAAGCGAAACTCATCACCAATACGTTACACTCTCACGCGTTCAAAGCTTTGAATCTCTTTATGGTGGCCAATTCACATTATCAACTCAGTTGATAAAAGCAAAATTATCTTTTTACACTCCCCCACCGATGCAGTACCACAGTTTCTATAGAAACTTACCCGCCTCTATATATTTTCCAGATTTGCAATGACCTTGCTTCAAAACAATGGTAGGTGAGAGTATTTATTAACGAGAATGACTATCAATTCTCAAGCAAATGAAACTCATTAGCAAAACAAAGGTTACAAATATTAAGGAGTATTGAACGACCTACGAGTACGTAACCAATCACAACGAAGTATTTTTTTCAGATGTACACAGATTAGGAAATAATATTTTCCAGTAAGTTGTAGTTCCTTAGCACCGACTCCACAGTGTGTCGATGAAAAATAGTTAGAAACGTGGCGAGATATTCTGTAAAAAGTGTTGGCACTTTATACAAGGGTAAGTATTTCATCAGAAGACTAGTTTAGTTCAGGTGAAGTAACCGTGTTTTTGCAAGATATCTTGCATGCAGGCCTTGATTTTTACACCAATTTGACAGTTAACCCAGTGGAGCGAACCAACTTCCCATATGTAAATGCAGTGAAGAATATTCGAAAAGCGGAAAAGCATTCAGCAATAATTTGATGGCGAGTTTGATAAAATTAGTCCTCAGCAAAATTATTCGTTGACTGTCTTAAAGTACAATGAAACTTATTATTATTTTTCTCAATTTCTACTCACAGTTCCGGGGTTCTTTCAGTGATACACCGACCGGCGGAGAAATGAATGTCAAGAGAAACACCCCCTTTCGAATATGTAAGAAATTTTGTTTCCCATGCGCAGTTCTTCTGCTGTTCTCTTCCGCTGTTCTACTGCATAACTCCCATTATGGCCAATCTCTTTTCAAGTATAGTAAAGAGTTAATAAAGCCAAACAGGAGCTTGACTCAGAATAAAACGGCACTCGTTACTCTTTTAACAAATCCAAACAAAACAAATTCACCCGAAGTAGTCCGAACATTGGCCGATGTCAATTCAGCATCATCTGAAGTTCAAAGAAGTTCACGACCGAAGATTTCCACAGGTTCAATTCCAAAGCCAGCTTTGGAAGCTCAGCCGATCCACCGCCTTCAACCAGAGCCGTCCGAAATCAAAACAGGATCAAACCAAGAGCCTCAGTCGGAAGCCCGATCTACAAGCGACGTCCACTCTGTGTCATCCGGAGTTAGGCCGAAGAAAGACCAAGAGGACCGATCTTCTTCCGAGGTTCATACAGTGTCACACTCAGTTCAGACAACTTCCAACTTTCGTTCAACAAATCGAAGTTCCCCTGAGTTACAACGGACTTTTCCGACCTCCACAAAGTCCCTTGATGTGGTATCGACGCCCCGACCCGAACGCCGCCGAAGTCTCCTAATCTATGGAGCCGGCCGTTCAGGCACAACATTCACCACCAAAATGTTTGCCGAAGATCCACAACTTATGACTGTTTATGAACCGTTATGGATAATAACCAAATGGAACAAAGAAGACTCTAGTCAAATACCCAATTGGACCAAAAACGTTCTTGATCTTCTTAGGGGAATTTTAAGTTGTAAGTTCGCCGAGACTGCCGCTGGTGTTAAATTCCTCTCGCACACCTCACGGAAATGGAATGGAGCAAATGTCAAAAACCCTTTTCAGTCTCAAAACTTTTGCCCCAACTGGGAATGTAAAAAACTTTCCAGATCTGCCAAATACGCCGACACAGTATGCCTAACAAAATACAAACACAGTGTAACGAAAATAGGGGAAACCAGGACACCCAACAGTTCAATTTCATCTTTTCTTCCAAAGGTGTTCTTAGAGAATCCAGACACCGACATCCGGGTTATCCAGCTTATTCGAGATCCCAGAGCCAGTTTTAGATCCCGGATTAAGTTAAGATGGATGGTAGACTGGACGCATCGGAATTTTCGAAAGTTAGTCAGAAAAGTTTGTTCAAACTTGGTCGCAAACATCAAGTTTGGCCGAAATCTGGGCAAATGGCAAGACAGGTATTTAGAAGTACACTACCACGATCTAGCCGGAAAACCGCTGGAAACGACAAGAGCTATGTATGATTTTGCAGGATTTGAAATGCCCGATAGCATTGCCGACTGGGTGGTTCGCAATACTTCGCCGAGTAAAGAAGAACTGATGAAGGAAAGTAAAAACATATTCTCACCAACTCGAAATTCAACGGCTAATATTGATAAGTGGAAGCAAGATTCCCCAGTCGAAAGAATTCGGATAATTGAGGAATATTGTCAAGAAGCACTTGATCTTCTAGGACTGAAAAAAATGCTATAGAACAAACAACTTCAATTGAACGGATTTGAAAATGACACAGATTTTCGTGGGAAAAAATAAACTGCCAATAAATGAAGATAAAGGAAAGGAAACACGAATTTTAAACAAAACTGGATCAATTCCTTGAATCACTTCACAGAGATGTGACTGACTAGCCTCCGTGCTGCCGTACCCTTTCCCCTCCCCCACCCCCTAATTATAATGGAATATTTAGCAAACAGAGATGGAGAATTGACAAACTT